GAGCTCTGCACTGTCCTTTAAAATGGAATGAAATGTTCAGAAAGCTTCTGAAAGCTCCTGCGTACAAGTTCACCTGTCAATGGAATTTCAAGACTGTAGATGACGGATTTTTTGGGACACTTCTTGTGAAAAAAAAAATAAGCCGCTTCAGCTCTTGTCATTTTCAGTAAAGACAGATTTCAGCTGCCCTTTGATTTACTGCTCTGTCTCCATTCCAACCTTCTCTTTAAAGTTTATACAAGTAAACCAGTAAATCCTCAATAAGGAGACCTGACTCAGCCTTTTTTAAAAAAATATTTTTACGTAAAATAAATATAAAAAAATTTTCATATTTATTCATTTATTTTAATACAATCTTTCTTTTACTATACCCAAATCTTAAACTAAAATATTTCCATAAATTTGCTTCATTAACCCTTTAAAGCCCGATCCAAGAATAAAACAAAACAAAAAATAACTTTTTTTTGGTTTGAATTCCTTATTTGCCCTTTTAACAAAATACGTAAAAAGAAAAAACAGAAATACATTTTTGATATTAAAAACTTATTACTATGCGATAAGACAAGATTTTTTTTTTATGTAGTCTTCTACTGGCTGTTATCAGGTATATCTGATTGTGTACAATAGGATTTTGAGCAAAGTTTTTACCACTAAATCATGCAAAAGGTGTCAGACGCAAAACATTTCAGAAACCGTATGTATCAAATACGATACATTTGGCTTTATAGGGTTATGGGCTTGGGGGATTAATAAAAAAAAAAAATCAATATAAACAAAAAACTGTTTTAAACGGTTGTCTGTAACAACGGAGAGCCTTTTAAAATATATATATAACACATTTTTTATCCATAATTGTTGATCAGAACTCATAGGAGCTAACAATTAGCCATAACTGTTCCTCAGGGTATAATTATGATGCTACATTTCTTTTTTTCTAGTATGGCCCATATTTATCTTGTCAGCCCAAACAGAATGCATCCAACCTTTAAAGATGTGGGTTTACTAACTGAAGCTGTGTGCTTTGCTCAAATGAGACTAAGCTCAAGCTTTTCAACAGGAATTGCCTCATTTATTGATGATTTTGTAGGACTTCTTGTCTTCTAAAGTCTCTGGGATCTTTAATCAGATGCCTGGGATTTTAAATACTTTCAAAATTGTCTGTATGAATACTATGGAGTACTAAATAGATGAGAAATATATATATATTCACTCACTCACTTTTGGCTGCGTTTTTTTTTACAATGATTTTGAAATAAAACTGGTATTGTATGGTAGATAGGCAATAACTAAATAGTTTTTTCCACTTAAAAATACACAATCAAGCAGGCCTCTGCTGTATCTTACTTAGCAACACGTTGACAGCTCCTCTGATGTTGGCTCACGTTATTGGTTGTAAAGATGACGTCTTTCGTGCAGCTGACATAAGAGGAGCATCAGTGACGACGTCATCGGTGCTATAATTCTCAGAGAGGACATATTATACTAAATCCCTCTTGATATTATCCCTTCTTGATATGAAAAAAGGGACAAGCACTGCCTCCTCACAGCGAACTGAGCATTAAACAAAAAGCATTTGACCCACAGTTGCATAGCTGCATCTGAGATGGCTAAAGTTTTCTGCATGATTTTATTTTGTTTAATTTTGGATTTCAGACCCTCTAAAACAGTCTGATTTTTACCAGCAGCTCTTGGTTGGCTTTTAAATTTTAAAGTTGGCCTTTTTTTTTTTTTCTTAATCTGCAAACTTGCATCACCAGAAGCATTTTAGATGCACAGAGAAAGTAAATAAAATAGGACACAATGTCTTTCTCTGTCTCAGAGATGCCTCAGATCTAACTTTTAGAGCTTTTTTTCTCCTCATGGATTTCTTCCTCTCCCATCGGCAAAGGGAGCGTTGGTGGAAAGTAGGAGGAAAAAATGTAATGAACATCAGGAAACGCCAAACATTCCTGCTCCATAGCGTAGCTTTAATTTACCTTCAATCCGGTCTTTGTGTTTTGCCAAGTAATGCTGCTGCATTAACGATGTTAATGGCATTTAAAACGCAGCGTGATGTAGGATAAACAGGTCATGGAGGTGAAACAGCAAAGGATACGCTGTGATGCCGATGCTCACAGCTCATCTCTTCTGGCGGCTTTCCCATAAAAAGTTATCTGTTAAAGAAAGTCTGAAAAGATCGATTTGAGGATCAGGCAGAAAGAGTGGAGGAGGTAGATTTCATGCAGGATGAGAAGGGGAATAGGTCTGAGGTGCTGTGGGTGTTAGCTCATGCAGAACTATACTAAAGTTCTCCTGCCTTGATACTGATATTGGCATAAATGATCTGTAACTTGGATCTGCTTTGATGCCTCATCTCTGTGGTTCCTCGAACTCCATACCTACCCAGTTTATTTCTATGTTCACTCAACTGGGAAAAAAATTATAAATTTGTTACCGGGCAGGATTTCACACCCTGTGCACATCTTTATTTGTGCATTTATTGAAAAACAGCCTGAATCTCTTCATTTATTGCAGCTTTTGAGACTTTCTCCTCTAAATGAATTATTATTATTATTATTACACATTTTGACACGTTAGACCCTCTGGGTTCAATGTTTTTTATTCATTAGACAAACTCAAAGGGGTCGCAACTGTTAAGACGAAGGGAACACGTCATGGTTTTTAGAATTATTTACAGTAAAATACATTTAGAATTTATCTCATGAGTAAATGAAAGGAATCTGTCTATGTGGTATTTAATCGGAGGTGAGATCTGGTTAGATATGGCCAAAGCAAATTCTTTTAATGGCCTTACGCTGCAACACTGGTAAGAGAAAAACCTTTTAGAGACCTTTAAGCTGTCCATCGGAGCTACAAGTAAGGATGAAAAGTTCTTTTTGTTATTTTTTTTAGCATTTTTCATTCACCAGAAATCCTCATCTACATTCTTGATAGCTCATTTAATTTTCATGTACTGATTTATTTGATTGGGAAAGTGCATGTTCATGAATTAAAATCACATGAATATAAATATTTCAGATTGTAGCCAAAGGCTTATTTCCATCTATTTTCCTGCAGGCAGGCGTAACATTGACAAACTCTTCTATATACAAAAAGGCGGTCACTTATACAACATTTTAGCACAACAACACACTTTAGTCACAATAGAACACAAGTAAACAGCTCACCATACATTTTACCAGCAACATTCAAGCGTAGAAAATCCCATACAGTTAAATACGCTTTACTGTGTGAACTAATGTGTACAGGTTTCAGTGGTTGGCGAACAAGCAACTGTAAATGAGACAGATTATTCAGGTTTGAAATGTCCAATAAACAATTTATTTTTAGAATGTTTCATTAATAGTTGGATCCTTTTTTTTTTTTTTGTCAAAAATTTTTTTAGGCCCTTTTTATATTTATTTACATAAATTTTCGAGAAGATCGTGGAATAGAAGTCAATTTTGGCAGAACTCAGAGGTAAATAATTATTAAATTATTATTTCTGATGGGTCTGAATGTTTTTTTTTTTTATTAAATGTTAGAATGTGCCACTTGTAACAAGGTCAAGGTCACGTTTTTTTTAGTGTTCAACATAAGGCATGAATCCTTGAGCCAGGAATGATGATAAAGCAGTTGTGAGATCAGTTGCAGCATGTTTAAATATTTTTGCATGAGTTTGGTAGGTTACCTATAAAGAAGGAGAACAAAACTGGCCCAAGGATAGACCCTTAAAGAACCTATTTTAGTATCCACATAGGGAGATTCAGTGGTGTCAAAAGTACACACTTTTGTTACTTAAGTAGAAGTATAGATACTTGCAGTTTAAAAACACTCTGGTAAAAGTTGAAGGATCAACTTGACCTCTTTACTCAAGTAAAAGTGAAAAAGTATGTGCTCAAAAAACTACTTAAGAGTATAAAAGTATAAATTAACCTTTAAAAAAAAACAGCCAGATGCCACTATATGAACTGAAAGCTCAATTTTTCGACTATTTCAAAAAATTCTTTGAGATATGGCCAAGTTGGTCTCCATCTCGCATTACGCTCTCGCCTGTGTCCGACCTTTCAGACATTTCAACATCTTTTTCTAAATCCAACATTGTAGCATGGCATAGATAATTCACTTTTGCAGTTTGAATAACACCTGCTTGCTTCTGATGATTTCCTTTAGCTAACCAATGAGTGTTTGCGTTATATGACTCATCAAATTACACTAGTTTTCACTAGATGTGGATGGAGCCAATGATCTGCTTTGGATGGCGCACATGATGCGAAATAAATATTTATAAACATTAAACCGAAGCCAAGAGTAACGAGTAACATTTGTTTTAAAAATGTAAGGAATAGAAAGTACAGATACTTGTGTTAAAATGTAATGATTAGAAGTCAGTAGTAGGAAGAAAAATAAGTAATGGAGTAAAGTATAGATACCTAAAAATTTTACTTAAGTACAGTAACGAAGTATTTGTACTTCGCTACACCTCTGCAGAGATTTAACACCAGGTGGTGAATGGTGTTAATCTTGTAACATATCATTCCAAAAAGTTAATCTACTGGACTTTGTTTCCAAGTTTAAAGAGAAACAAAGTCCAGTGGATTGTTTTTTAACTTCTTTGGAATGACTATGATCCGGATGACGTAGAATCTTCACCAACATACTTGTGAAGTATCATGTCTATCCATTCGTTAATATCTTTTCGTAGGTCCAAACCTTTTTCTTCCAGTAGCTCGGTTTGGGCTTTTTAGATCGCAGCTTTAGATGCAGAAACATACTGAATGGACTTGAGTGTATGCAACACATACTGTATGCTTTTCTTGGCTGAAACTTGTCAAAATGTAAATCAGATGCTCCTGTTTTGGAGCATTGCTATAAGAGAAACAGAGGTGAGCTTTCTATGGCCTCTGCTCTGATATGAAACACAGTAAACCTGTAGTCGGTTGTTGTCCTTTTCATTACAATCCACGTTGTAATGAAGCTGAAGTCAATCAGTTTTACTGGGAATATTTTCTTTTCTCTAGGTAAAAAGGCAGACTGCACATTGTCCATTGGCGACGAGGATCTGCTAGCTCTAATGACGGGGAAGTTGAACCCACAAACGGTGTGTGCACGTACCATGTCCCATATGTGTTAATACTGTGTGATGGTCTGAAAAACACATCTGCCTGATGGCTTTGAATACTGTCTTTGAGTCAGTCACAATGTTTCTCAGATCTGAAAGGGGAACATTTTAAAGCAATCATTTCGATTATGAAAAGGAATTGAGCTGAAATGCCCTTAAATATTGACCTGCTTTGATTATAGTGCTAGATGAAAGACATACAGGAGTTGGTCAGTTCCAACGATAGATTGCAAAAAACCTGGTTAAATGCCAGTTTTCCTATTTATTTGGATTTATAAAGTTACAGACAGTGTTGGGAAAGTTCTCTTTCTACGTGAACTAGTTCAAAGTTCAGTTCACACATTTTAAAATGAACTAGTTCAGTTCATAGTTCATAATTCAAAATTTTGAACTAAGTTCACAGTTCCAAAAAATGAACTAGTTCATAGTTCTTTTTTTTATATATATATTGCTCAATTACACCATAGCCTACTGTAGAACCACAGACACCAATTATTTTATCAGTTGTAACTCTGAAACAGTGCGTCAGATTTCATCTTCATATCCAGTTTTGAATCCTTATCCAACCAGGGTTTACATTAGCATTGAGGGGACAGCATTTCCCCATTGTTGCTTTAACGCTTTGTTGCTGTCCATTCACTTCACACTAGTAGCAGCTGCAGCTTTCACCCCTACAGTATATTCTAAAAAACACCAGGAAAAATGTGCTGCTTGAATGGTCTTTTTTATGAGGAATTATTAAAAGAAAAACAGGAAAGTAGTCTTTAAGGTGCAAATGTTTTTTTTTTATTTTAATAATTTTTTCAATTTGAAATTCCATTTCAGTACATACTAAAAAGGAATCCTGGAATCCTGGAAAATTATACCAGGCAGGTTTAACAAACAAGTTACATGAATAATAAAACCCTCAAGAACATTTTACTACTGTAACACAAACTGAGGGACCAGGCTGAGGTAGGAATTTAAGGTTACTGAAGTGCGGATTTTTTTACTGAAAGCCGGCGGGCAAAGTTTGCAGAGAAATGTAAGATTGTTGCCATCATCCTCACCGACCACCTGGTCATAAAACTGTTTTAAGTGATCATACTGCTGCTTTGTCGCATCCACGGTCTCCTCCATGCTGCTGTGGCTTCCACGCTGCATTTTGTTTTGATGACGCACGCGGCTGTAGGCTACGACGCTGGTAGCTGGTGTTGCCAGATTGGGTGTTTTTCCCGCTACATATTAAGGCCTGTTTACGGTGTGATTTAGCCGGGGTTTCGCCTGGAGGACTCTATAGAAATCTGGCAACCTATTGAACGAAGTTGAACTGAGAGAGCGTGCCGTTCACAGACACCAGAATGAACGAGTTCACAATAACGTTCATCAGGCAGTAATACAGTACGTTCAGTTCACGTTCGCCCAAAATATGAACGAGTTCATGAACTTTCGTTCAATGAACGCGTTCAGGCACAACACAGGTTACAGACGCTATGATTACTTTGTTTTTAAACAATTTGAAGCTTAAATGTTGATGTGATTGCAGGTATTGGATGTATTTCAAGGCAACATCTCAAACTGGCCGCTTCCTGGTGTGAGACCTAAGAAATGAGCCCAAAATCGATTCCACCTGAATCTGCTCAATTATTTGCTAGAATTAACACAGTAGCTGCGCTTCTATTACAAATGGGTGCAACACTGTATGATATTCTGCTAAATCCGAAATGCAAAATTCTGTAATTAAAGTGTTTCTATTAGATAACAAAATTAAAAAATGCATACGATATGCAATAACTCTGAAAACAAAATGGCAGTGGCGGATGTAAACACGAGATATGTCCATATATCAGCCACAGCTCTAGAGGGCGCCATCATCCTTCAACTGCTTTTGTTCTTCTCCGTCTTTTCACAGGGCAGTAATATACCAGGACTCGTGTGATGCAAAATAAATGTTTTCATTGCAGTTTTGCAAGTATAAGAATTTCCATAAGACTGAAAAAACATTTTATCTAAGAAATAAAAAAAAACCCTGGGATGTTTTTAGAATTTTGGGCAGAAACCGGCAAACAAATGTCAGTATGACATTGGCTGAAAGGCCACTCGAAGGGGAAGTCGCCAAAGCAATATAAGAGTTGGGTTACAGTCAGAAAATCACAGAAATGTGCCTTCTTATTGGAGCTGAAGTTAATGTTTGACAAACGATGACAAACCCTTGATGTCAGTCATTCAGAGCATTTATTGTCAGAGCTGAAAAAGCTGCAAGAAAGAATGGCTACAACCTGGACTCAGTGAAAAGAGGGACAGAGGTGAGCAGCAGTTCTGTCTGCAGGAATTTTGCTTTTAGCAAACAGAAATCCTTTTTAGTTTTCCTAAAAAGAAAAAAAGAAGAAACATTTGAACACTTTTAAGGTCAAATATTTTCCAACAACTTCTTGATGAAGTTTCAGAGCATTTTTTGTTTATTTATTTTTTTGTACAGTCCTGTAAAACGTTGATCGTTCTAGCAGACAGCTAAAAGTTCAGGGTCAGAAATCTTTTTTTTTTTTTTTTTTTTACATCACATTAACTAATCCCAGGTGGATCCAAGAGGATTTGTTGATGAAAATCAATCAAAAAGCAGTTAAACATAAGCCATTATTATCTTCCAACAGAGTTTCTTGCATATACAGCGAACCCTCATTTATCATGGGGGTTACGTTCCAAAAAGAACCCACGATAGGTGAAATCCGTGAAGTAGAAACCTTGATTTTTTACAGTTATTACACAATGAAATACTCCATGAAACATTGAAATCAAGGAAAAACTTTTTACAGGCCCAATCTTTTGTTTAACAAATAAAAGTACTGTATAAACGTTTTTTTAATTTTTCTTTTTTTTAACAAATAACTACTGTACTGTACTGTAAAATAATAGTTATAAATAAATAAATAATAATTTTAATCATCAATACGAACTGAAGGGCAGAGATGGCAAAAGTACTCACTTTCCGTACTTGAGTAAAAGTACAGATACTTGTGTTAAAAAATACTCTGGTAAAAGTGGAAGTACTGATTAAACTTCTTTACTCAAGTAAAAGTAACAAAGTACAGGCTTGTAAATTTACTTAAAGTGTAAAAGTAAAAGTAGAAACCACTTTTTTCATGCCGTTGCCTACATTTTAAATGGATGTCTGCCAATAGGACTAGATCTCCGTTGTGTTCATTTTCAATCATCTCGTCGTCCATGCTACTATGCTACCGCCACCGCCACCAAGCTGCAATGATTTGCCGCGAATGAATACCGCCGAATCTGTACATTCATCTTGTAGTTGTGCGTCAAATGCAACGTAGATTCCCATCCAATTAGATTGAATTTGGTATTAATGACGTGAAAAATAACGGTAACTCCATTGAAATGATTGAAAACTAAAGTAACGAGCCAATTTTTTTAAATGTAAGGAGTAGAAAGTAAAGATATTTGTTTAACAATGTAAGGAGAAGAAGTAAAAAGTCGCCAGAAAAATAAGTAGTAAAGTAAAGTAAAAATATCAGAAAAATCTATTTGAGAACAGTAATGAAGTATTTGTACTTCGTTACTTCCCTTCTCTGCTGAAGGGTTAATATTAATATTAAGTACAGTAGGACAAATAGTGACTGACATGTACAGTACACAGGTGTGTTTTTTGGAGAGAAGAACATAGTTATCGGTAGTTGTTGTCGCTCTTTTTTTCTTCTGGGCCAAAAGATCCTTATAAACCGACATGCCACCATCGATTATGATTGACAATAAAGTTTAACAAAGCATGATGCAAATCCGTGAAGCAGACCGTTAAAAGTGAACCGCGTTATAGCGAGGGTTCACGGTACGACATATTTTTAAAATCTAACCTTTTTTAGGTCCCAAAAAGAAACTTTTTATGTAGAGAAAGTTTGCTTCCAGCATGCAGGGGATACAATTATATCATCAGGACTTTATATTCAGTAAAGTAATATGATGGATTAATAGAAAAAGGTTGTAATAAAATCTATGATTCTCAGTTTCTTGATTGAAAACTAAAACTTTTTCCAATTTGAGTTTTATCAATGACCTGCTTTTTGTATAAAATATATCAGCTGTATTAAAACTGATGTCCTACTTTTGTCCTTTTTTCTCTGGTTACATCAGGCGTTCTTCAAGGGGCAGCTGAAGATCACCGGAAACATGGGCATGGCCATGAAGCTGCAGAACCTCCAGGTGGCATCGGTCAAAGCCAGGCTGTGAGGCCTTGTAGGAGCTTTTTGTGAAGCTCTAGTATTCAGAAACAGGCTTAGATTTATTTAATTGAAAACTAAATCAAAGGTTTTGATTATGAGCCCAGCTTGATCTGAAGAGATGGTCCATCAAGCTGCTTCCATAGACTTTGTTATTTTCCTTTCTATTAATCAGAGCTGTTGTTTCTGCAGTCAGTCCTATAAAAACAGCAAATGATCAGAGTTTGGATTAAACTGAACAGTGTGTTTCAACTGATCATGTACTAAGAAAAACTGTAAAATGAAGCATTTCAAAGCAGTTTCTTGTGATTAATACGTATGAATTTATAAGCTCTAATGTTTGTAAAATAAATATTTTGTTCTCTAAATGTGTTTGAATGTTTTCTCCAGTCAACATTTAGGCTTATCGTATCCAAATAGATTGACTTTTTTCTGTTTAAGGAGCAAAGCAAAGTTTGAGTAGCAGAATTATTTGTTATAATGCAGGACATACAGGTTTGACTACATTCATTCTTTTTTTTTTATCACCGTTCTCATTTGAGGATCGGCTCCCAGTACACACTATAATTTTAAGGCACAGTGAGTAAGCACAGCTCTGTGATTGGATGCCCTCTGGACTCAGTGCATGAGGTGGGAAACAAAAGGATCCAAACTAAATTAACATCCAGGGGTTGACGTTTAGGATTTTACCACTTGCATTTCATTTGCCCAGAAACAATTTTTACTTGCCCAGTATAATGTTTCATAAATATATTTCCTAATATTCATTTTTGTATATATATCAATGAAACATGTTTTTTTTTTTTTATGTTTTTTGTAATTCAGTATTTTTTAAGTTTCCAGGTTCCTGGTGTGTATCTGCATGCGTCAGATAATGAACTCAAGCCTACATTCCTGTGTTAACATGCTTTTCAATCCTTCCTGCACATTCTTTTCAAACTAAACTTTGCTTTAAACTGTTGTGTGTTTGGAAAAATATAAATTGTAATGTTAAAAAAAAAAAAAAAAAAAAAAAAACGTGACAGGTTAAAAACTTAAGATAAATCACAAGACAGAAGTCAATGTCCCAAATGAATAACTTATTTTAGAGTCACGGTATGTTTATACAAGATAATACTATTAATATAATGTGACTTTTCTAGAGAATCATTATACATAGTTATTTTATACAGGGTTTCCACAGTCTTACATAATTTCAGATTTCCCTGACTTTTAACTGACTCAGGATTAGTTTTCCCTTACAAAATAAATGCAGCCGTTTGTCGTTTTGGTGACTTCATATAAAAATTACCGCTAGGTGGACAAAAATCACACAATCTGGTGGAAAATCACCCGGCTTTTTCAAATCAAGCAAGAATGTGTACAAAACAACAAAAATGGCTCCGGCAACGCTTCTGGGTCGTTTTCATCGAATGTCTGTGATTTTAAAGTAATTTTGAGTGATAAATATTTTTTTATTTTTTTTTTGCGATCATTGCACTTGCCCGGCAAATGATTTGGACTCTCCCAACAATAAAAACTACTTGCCCTGGGAGATCGGGTGATGGTTAACATCGAGCCCTGAGATCTGTGTTGGGTAATGTTTCCCACCCCATGCATGAAGCTGTTACAGAACTGGAGAGCTCCTTCGCTGACAGACTGCTGCACTCTAAATGCACCAGGAAGGGTTATCACAGATCCTTCCTCCCAACAGATGTAAGACTTTATAACCACCACTGTTCCCAACAACCTTAATAAGTTGTTATATTCATGCTGAATTTGCCCAGTTTCCATCTTAGTCAGTTAAATAACATGCTGCTGTCATTTTGCACATCTCTGATGTTGCTGCTATTTTCAAATATCCATTACTGTAAAAATATCCATAACTGTATATTGGTTATTTATTCTCCATGTGCAATTTTTTTATATTGCTAAAACACTTTACAGTACAGTATTTTAGTGTTTATCCTTTACCTCTTCACCATTAGGTTATTCTTATACATTTTTCTAAGGTCCGCATTCGTGTGACCTTTTTTTTCTATAATCTTTTTGCTGCTGTAAACACCACAATTTCCCCATTGTGGGACAATAAAGGGATTTTCTATTCTATTCTAATACTCAGACAGGCTCAAAGCGAGCCGGAAGAACTTCCCACACTTTGCTGTGGCGGCGTGGGATGACCCCAGCATTAATGTTGCAGCTAAAAACTAAAACTCATTGAACCAGGCGGTGGTTTTTCATGTTTGAACTGTAGCTTCGATTTTCTGTTCTCAGCAGACAAAGTTAAACCTATTGGACTTTTGAAGGTGATATTTTGCCCACTTCAATGTTAAGATCTACTGTTTGATCTCTTGTTGCCTTTATATCATCTGAAACCAACCTGCTAAATGACCTCAGACATCAGCAAGAGTTTTTCCCCCAGGCAAATTTCATCCCTTCTTATTTTCAAGCCATTCCCACAAAACCAGAGATATTTATGGTTAGAAATCTCAGATCAGCTGTTTAAAATCAGACCAGCTTGTGTGGCACCAGTAACTTTAATCTCCTTTCCTCTCAGCTCACATGCTGGCTTTGAACTTTAGAAAATGTTTAGTTTCTGCTACTTTGCTTAACAATTCATTAAACTGGTGATCCTAATTAAATGTTTTGTGGGTGTTAATATTCTCTACAGGAGTGATCAATATTTCTACAGTACTGTAACATCCAACTGGTGTTTTTTTTTCCAGCTTTAGTGATCTAGCTCCCCTGTTCTCCAGCTCTCGTTTTGCTGTCCAATTATTTTCAAAGTTCATCCAGACCTCCTGTTGAACTCCTCCTTCACGCTGCTCCCTGAAGCTAACCTTATTCCACCTGGATTCTCTAATAGTTAATATTTAAGACCTTTTCTTAATTCTGACCCTCGTCTTCGTTAGCTGGTCAAATGCTAATCAGCAGCTTCAAAAAGCTGAGCTGTGGGCTAATGGGGCTTTATTTAAACAGGCAGTGTGAGTAGAATAATTTTAATCATATTTTTTTCCCCTCCCAGGTAACCTTTGGAAGGTAGTTGTGCAAAAAGAATGTTATTTTAAAATGTTCCTTGATTATTGAAAGGGAAGTTTCTCTCCATTCCAAACTCCTGCTTGTGTTTTGCAACATGTTAAAATATGCAAGAAACACGGAGGGGATTTTTTTTATTTTTTTATATGAAATGTTATAATTGTTTTTACAGTTTCAATAATAGGATGGTATTCAAATCAGAATTGGAACACACCAGAGTCCAGGAAACCAAGAAAACCTTAAAAAGTCAAGACTACTCTGCTGTAGGTGCAGGACGCTGCCATTTCTACAACCAGTGCCAGAAACGCTCACGCTCAGGAACCTATAAACAAAACAGTGGTAATAGGATTAGCCCATAGGTATAAAATTTGTTTTAGGTACAAAGTCCACGGCATTTAGGTTTACCGGTAAGTCTCCTCCAAAACTTGAAAAACATTTTTTTTTTTTTTTTTTTTTTTTTTTTTTTACATTTGACAGAATTTATATCAAGGTAATGAAATACGCAAAAAAATAAACACTGTTCAAACAACTAAACAAACACCAGTCATGGATACTTAAAAAAAAAGTATAAAATTTAGTATAAATTACAGTTCTGAATTGCCTGACATATTGAAATAAAATAGTCTAACAAAAATGATTTTAACTTCAGGAGTGGATTTCCAATATGCCTGTGAAAAAAAAATTGACGCTCTGCCCCTGCAGTAGGATGCCTCTCCAAAAATTGTGTTTCAGTGTTGTTGTATAGTCTGGACTAAGATTTCCTTATGTGTGTTCACAGCTTCACAAAAAGTCCAGAGCTAGAGGTTAAACAAACTCTGTTTTTTTTTTAAAGCAGACCAAAACAGGCAGGTGTCAATACTTTCCCAGATTATGAAATATTTGAGTTGCCTTTTAGTTTCCATGGGTTCCAGCTAAAGCATATTTGACTGTTTGTGTAACCAGGCCATAATGGATCCAGCAGATGGTTGTCAGAACTTTAACTGGGTTAAATCAGTTCATATTCCTGAAAGATGTATCCCATCTGAGTGGTTTCCATGGATATCTGTAAAGTGAATGGTACATTTTGCGTGTATCACTGTAAGGGAACTTTAACTGGGTTAAATCAGTTCATATTCCTGAAAGATGTATCCCATCTGAGTGGTTTCCATGGATATCTGTAAAGTGAATGGTACATTTTGCGTGTATCACTGTAAGGTACTGAGATTCCAGTCATACAATGGAAAAACGCTCCAGAAATAAGTCGAAATTTCTTAAATTAAGTGTATTTACCCTTACTTTGAGTAGGTAAATGAGATAGTTTGCCAATGGAATGAGTATTTTTACTCTTAAAATAAGATAATTAGATAATATGCACTTGTAATAAGACAATGCAATTGTGTTTTCTTATTTTAAGTGTAAATTGCCTTGTTCTATTGGCAAAATGTGTCTTTTACCTCATCAATCCAAGCACAAATGCACTTATTTTAAGAAAAAATGACTTATCTGGATTTCTATTTTTTCCAGTGAGAACAAATTGTGTCCTCCGGCATTTAGATATGTCTCTGCTTCAGCATACATGACTCAAACATTTATTCGTTAGTAGAGTTCTCTACGACATGGTTGCAATGGACGGAAGTTTAGCCATTTCATTCAGTTCTATATGGCAAGGTACATATCGATTCGTTTTATTTATGTTACGCCGCAGCTCAGAGTACATCTCAAATCACTTTACAGAGACAATCCAATCAGATCAGACAGACAAGGAAATCCAGCTAATGGCATCCAGTCATTGAATTTGTAGGATTCACTTCTTCTAGATGAGCATGTAGCGACGGTAGATATTCACTTACATTGTGTAGTTGACTCTGCAGCAATCCCTCACCACAAGCATGGATGCAGCGACAGTTGTGAGGAAAAAAATCCCTTTTAAACTCCCTTTTCCAGCAGAACTAGGCTCAGTGTGAGCAGCCTTCTGTTGAGGCTGACTGGGGGTTTGAGGAGAAAGAATCAGACATTTAAAGGGAACACAGCACCACTGCTCCATAAATGTTTTCTTTGTTATGAAAGGTTATGCTAAACTTGCTCCATAGGAGGCTCTGTCTGGGAAAGATATGGTTAAGCAGATGAGCTGTGAGACAGTTTTCAGTAAGGAATCGAAATAAATACAAAAAAATCAAATTATAAACCCATATTTATAAAACAGGAGCTCCTCTGAGTAACTCCCTTGTAATCATATTTAAACTTGATGAATTGGGAACAAAATACAGAAGAAAAATTATGGTCAGACTGACTTAATTAATCTACTTTGTTATTATCAAGACACCTGAGCTGCTTTGATGAGCTCCGATAGCTCAGTGTGAAAAACAGCTGATGC